CTTTCCACATCTGATGAATGGTTTGAACATCAAAGAGCGAGAGATGGGAGTGTGAGCTGGGCATTATCACCAGACTACTTAAAATGAAAGATCATACGTGTGTCCCTTTTCTGTTATCCTTCAACTTTCCGCATCTAAAAATCCCATTATCCAAAAAGCACCACTTCCTATTGTTAATTATATATAGAAAATTCCCGTCATTATCTGAACCATCAACAATACCTTTGATAACCAAACAACTATACCTCAAAATATGCATGACCTCTAAGCTTCAGTACAGAGACTACTGCACACAAGCTATGCTATGCAGTTATCTAAGGAACTGGGAACGTTTTAAGGGTAACTGCTATATTCAGTGTCACTCCCCCTGTACCACGCTGTCGCAGGGCCTGTGGGGCCAGCTCCCTAGCTGGCACAAGCCGCCAGGCTCCAGGGGCAGCCGCAAAGCCGTAACACAAGGCTCACCTGATGATACGCCCCTTGGCGCTCCTACTTGGCAGTAAGTGGCTCTGCCGGCTGGCCAGGGACAGGATGATGAGCGTTGCTCATGAGAGTGCTCCAGTGTGGCTCTTGTCTCTTTTTGGTGAGAAGAAAGGAGGGATTTGAAGAGGCACTTTCAGGCCTGAGCCAATTTAGGAAAAAGAGAATATTTATAGTGAGGGAAGGACTTGGCTGGTATTTATTCTCATATCCCTTTGCTACCACAGTGCAAGAGCTATAATTGCTAAAGTAGGGCTCACAGAAGATATTTGTATTTTAACAAAAGCTTTTCTTTTTCTCTCACACCCCACATTCCTTCCACTTTTTCTTGATTCCTCTAATGCAGTCATCCCCTTGTGATCTCAAAGTCTGTTGCCAGGCATAAATGTTGAGGTAAATTCAACAATATCTAACTTAACTGTTGAGCCAAGTAAACAGACAGAAGCAATATAATGGAAATTAAGAGTGACACAGTGAAACATACTTGTAAACAGTTAAAAATGGACATTAAACAATGAATCACATTTTTGAATTCTCCTCAGTTTTTGCTTTGGCTTTGTCAGGCAACCTTCATATTGACATGTAAGAAAAGGAGGAGCTGTTCTCCAAAACCACATGTCCAAACATTCTTAAATCCGTACTTTGATACTTACATACCAGTATTTTAAGCAACCAAGTGCTGCATGAAGCACATAGTGTTAATTATGTGTTAAAATTCAGGAGATATACTGAAGGAAAAGAAAATGAGGCTTTGGATAAAAACTACAGGTTTAGGCTCATGGTGACAAAGAATCTGAATGGCATCTGGAAATGAAAAAGCTTCCTGACACCACTTTGGGTACTTAAGCTCTGTTTTTCAGGTTTGACTGCTCAGTAAGTACTTCTTAAATTGAGTTGTTTCTGAACAACCAGGAGGGAAAAGGCTAGTTGTCCAGATAATATTGTGGGGCTTTTTCTTTGCTAAAGCAGTCTCTCCCCGAGATCCCAATAGGACAGCTTTCTTGTTATTTTCCCCACTGCGACTCATCCTTCAGCCCCATTCTTCTCCTACAGAAAGGCTGGCTCAGCTGTGACTGTTCTCTAGCTTGCTCAAGGCAAGATGTAATAGAGACTTCCAGCTCTCACCATCCCCCTGTCCTTGTTTCTGTTGATTATGTTCCCGAGACCAGCTTGGCTTGCTCTTGAAAGCTACCCATCCCAGCAGTGGTGTTCTTGTTACATTGCAGTTAGACTGATTGCATGGATGGAGACCAGACAGAAACATTAGAGCTCTGCCAGTACCCTTTACTTGTAAGGAAAACCTTATAATGTAGCATTTTGTGTCTATTGGAAATTACTTGTCATGGGCCAGAGTAAAAGAGCCTGTGAACTAGCATAATTTAAGTATTCTGGTCCGCGCTTTAGTGGGACTATTCAGGCACTTAAAGCTGCATACATACATAAACGCTTTGCTGGTTCAAGCCTTATACAAATCATACAACTTAAGAAGTAAGCTTTCTTAGAGGCATCCCCAATGACTTTAGTGACACTCTGCCTTGGCTTCTGAGCTTGGAGAACTGCTACTAGATAAGAGATCCTGTGTCTGACTATCTCCTGCTGGCCTTTATCTAAGGCTTTTGTAAACTCACACAGCGCTCATGGCAACAAAAGAGGGAGGAGACGCTGCTGACATCTGCAGTATCCAGCAGCCTTTGGTGGGATTGAGCTTGAGCTGAGACCTGTTCACTGTTCACCAAGTCCATACAGATCTATCATTAAGCCCTGAAAATGAGGCATGAAAGTGTAGACTGCAGCCAGAATATTTATGGGAAAGAGGAGAGAAATAAAAGACAAGAAGTTACTGTCTCATTGGAATAGTCCAATGCTCTGTTCCTTTGTGTCTTGGCTCAGTTCTTAGCACTTGGTGTGAGAAAAGACTGTGCTCCCTTCTGCGGTGAGATGTTTGTAGTGCCTAGTCCTACATGCTTAAAGACACAGAAGAGTATCTGACTGAATTTGTCTGAAACAGGTTTAAACCCTCTAGGAAACAAGAGTTCTGCTTAGCAAGGATTTTCTCCTCCAGCTTGGGCCATAGATATTTCTATACATAAATATAAATATAATGTAAATATGTGTGTGTACAAATATAAATATAATATAAAGTATATAAATGCAAACACCATTAAAATCAGTGTAGAAGTAGGGGGTGTTTTTCTTACTTTCTTTGACTCTATAGGTATTTAAAAAAGGGCTGGGGAAAAAAAGATCATATCTAGAGTACAGGTGACTGACAGCCTTCAAAGATGGATTACATCATAGCTAACAGGTATTGAGACAGATATTCTTACAAAAGTGCTGCAGGCTGTGTTGGAAACAAGTTGCCAAGTGAGCTTGTTAAGCTGTGTGTGTACATAAAAGCTATCTGGAGATGTGAATAGTGAGTCTATGCCTTTCATTTTCCAAGCAAGAGGTGAAAATCTCTATATATGGTTCAAAAGAGAGAAGACAGGTAATCAGTAGCCTGTAAACTACGTTAGTAAGCAGGCTATTGCGCTGAAAAGGGTCTTTTTTGGCTCTATGTTATGAAGAAGGTGCTTTATACATATCAAGGTACAAAAGATCAGAGTTAAAGGGTCTCATAAACAAGAATAAGTCATCTTGTTTGGCCTTCACCAAGAATGTATATTTCAAAATGTTTTGTCTTGCTTTTTTTTAATAAATAGACCATTTTGGAACAGTCTAGGAATCAAAAACATGTATGAAAAGACAAGAATCATCTATGATTTGTCTGAGTCAGAATTAATCCTTCCTTTATGTGCTGACCAAACCGAAGTGGCAACAGTATATACTATGAAAACAAAAAATTAAAACCAGCTAATCATATTGTCAAGTAATCTATATTTATTTTCCTAAGTGATCTATATCTATTCCTTTTCAAGGAAGAATTAAAGAGCTAAT